GGGCCCTTTTACGATTTAGTAAGAGACTGTATTCATTGATTAATGCAAAATTAAACTTGATCAAGTCTGATTTCATCTACTCTTTACAAAACTGACCTGCAGGTTTGGACTCAGAGCTGTGAAAAATGCTAAACGCCACATTCCTTAAATCATGCCTACCAGGTTCAAAGTGCATTGAGAAATGACATTTAATCATAACTGGCTTTGCCAGCTGCAATCACTAAGCAGGTTAGAGAGTCGTCCTGATACCCAAGTGGATTCCATCCCAGGTCAGGGCACATACCAAAATCAACTAATGAATGCATAAATAAGTGGAACAACAAGTGGTTGTTTCTCTCCCTCTTCCTTTCTCTGTAAAACCAATTTTTTCAAAGGACAATATTTGTTTTAAATCCTCACCAGAGGATATTTTCCCATTTAGTTTCAGACAGAATGGGAGGGAGAGAAGAAGTGAGGGAGGTGGGGGGGGGAGAGAGGAGAGAGAGAGAGAGAGAGAGAGAGAGAGAGAGAGAGAGAGAGATGAAAGAGACACATAGACTAGTTACGTCCTGCGACCCCAATCAGGGCCTGGGTACCAACCACATCTGAGGTATGTGCCCTTGACCTGAAATTGAACCAGCGAGCCTTTTGGCGGAGGGCTGACATTCTAACCGCTGAGCCAAACCGGCCAGGACCCATCACCACCTCGTGCATGGACACCTGAAATCACCTCCTACTGGCCTCCATGAACCCTTGGCCCCTACCTGCAGTCCATCCTCAGCTGGGTCACCAGAGTGGGCCGGCAAGTGTGGAATCTCTAATATCTTGTACGATTAGACTTCCTGGCAGACCTTGGAGTGGGTATTTGGCCGTTACAGCTTCTCATAAATTTGACAGTGACTGTGGATCATCAGTTCATTCATTCCTTCTGTCTCCATACAAGGAAGGGTCCCAGAGTGGGCTAGTAACCAGACACCCCCTTCCTTCTCATATATTAGCCCTGTGCTATTTGGGATGCTTCTGCCTGCAAGGACTAGAAGGCTACAAAGAAAATCGGCTTAAATAACGCAGGTTCCCATCTTACTTAATAAGGAATACAGATGTAGGTAGTTCCACAAGTGGATCCCCAGCACCTCCTGCCATCGAGGACCCAGGATTTCCCCCCAGTCTTCCATTTTTAGTTGTGTTTGTTGTTTGTTTGTGTGTTTGTTTTTGTCATGGTTCCCCTTGGGGGCTGTGTGGCACCAAACCCCATGATAATGATCAATAGGAGCACAGAGGCAGGCAAGCAGGCAAAAGATCTTTCTCATCACTTATTAGGCAGCAAAGCTGTTCCCAAAGCCCACAATAAACTTTCCCTTATTTCACCATGACTAGGACTTGGTCACAGGACAATCCCCGGTTGAACCGGCTAAAGAGAAATGAGATTGTTGCCATAGGTTTTGATCAATTAAATTCATACTCTGGATCTGGCTCCGTTACTGCTTGAGGAAAATGGAGGTTGTTAGGGAGGGAGAAGGGGAAAGTGGATGTTGGGTAATTAATTAGCAACGTCTTCTATAAACCCGAGACTATAATTGGAATGTGGAGCGGGAAGTAAGATGAGAGGACATGAGGGCAGAGAGGACCATCAGGTGGGAAAGAGACATGGCAGGGACAAGAGAAGAGAGAAAATAATTGATAAAGAGGAGACAAAGAGAGATGGATTAAAGAGGAGGGGACAACAAAAGAAAATAGAGATGAGGATTTGAAGAGGAAACATGAACCTGAGAATAAAGTATCAGCCAATCAGCATCAGAGACACGAGTTAGAAGCTTACTTGTAGAACTCAACCTCAGCCAATCCGAATCAGAAAAATGCGATAGGCTGGAGCATGTAAACTCAATCTCAGCCAATCGGCACCAAGGGAATTGGTAATGGGGTGGACCTTGTGAACTGAGCCTCTGCCAATCAGGATAAACGATGTAAACTCAGCCTCAGCCAATGAGCATGTGAGACACTGGCTAAGAGGTGGAACTTGTAAACTCAGCCTCAGCCAATCAGAATCAGAGAACCTGGTTCAGAGGTAGAGTGTGTGAACTCAGCCTCAGCCAATCAGGATCAGAGACACTGGGTCAGATGCGTGTGAACTCAGCCTCAGCCAATCAGGATCAGAGACACTGGGTGGGATGCGTGTGAACTCAATATTGAGTTCAGCCTCTTGTTTAGCCTTGGCGCTTCCAGTTTGACACTTTAAGCTCTTGTTTTTAGGTTGCCCTTGATTTTTCGATCAGTCTGTGGAATTCAGCCCTGGTACTCCAGGACTTCCCCAACCGCTGCATCCTAGGGAGGCTGTGTTAGTGTCCTATTCCTGCAGTAAGAAATTACCACAAACTTGGTGCCGCAAAACAAAACAAATTTATTACTTTACAGCTCCGGTGGTCAGAAATCCCACAGGGACTTCACTAGGGTAAAATAAAGAAGTGTGTAGGGCCGTGTCTCTAGGGGAGAATCCCTTTCCTTGTATTTCCCAGCTTTTAGAGTTGCCCACATTCCTTTACTCGTGCCCCTTCCTCCATCTTCAAATTCAGCAAAAGCTGCGCTCAGACCCCAGCTTCTGTTATCACAACTTCACTGACTCCGACCCTCCCACTTCCCTCATTCCTGTATAAGAACCCTGTGATTGCATTGGCCTACCTGGATCACCCAGGGTCATCTCCCCATCTCAGGAGCTTTAACCTCATCTGCAAAGTCCCATTTCCCATGTAAAGTCATGTATTTACAGATTGTGGTGATTGGGATGAGGTCATTTTTGAGGAAACCATCGTTCTGTTGACCACAAAGTGTCACAAAGGAACTGGTGTCCTCGTTCTAACTGCCCACAAGGAAGTATGTGGAATTACTAAGAACTGTGTCATCTAGGAAATAAATCCGTACCTAGTCCGTTTCCTTATTAATGACCAAGTAGTATTCCATTGTGTAAATGCACCACGGCTTTTATTTTTCTAATCCTTACCCGTGGATATTTTTCCATTTATCTCCAGACGGGGAGGGAGGGAGGAGAGAGAGAGAGAGAGAGAGAGAGAGAGAGAGAGAGAGAGAGAGAGAGAGACAGCGGTGTGAGAGAGAAATGTCGATTGGCTGCCTCTTGCACGACCCCAAACAGGATCAGGGATTGAACTTGCAACTAAGGTATGTGCCCTTGACAGGAATCAAACCCGCAACTATGGTTTGTAGGCCAACACTCGACCCCTTAGCCAAACCGGCCAGGGCACACCACAGCTTTTCTATGCACACATGTACTGAGGGGCACTTGGGCTTCTGCCAATCTTGGCTATTGTGACTAACGCTGCTATGAACACGGGGGTGCATATATTCGTTCTGATTGGTGTTTTGGGATTTTTAGGATTGTACCTCAGTGAGGCTTTAATGTCATGACAACTTATTTAAGCTTTATCTTTTATGTGATCAAAGTAGGGAAACTCTGGAGCAGGAAGAGGGTCTGGGGTTCATGTCACAAACACTGGTGCTCATGCCTCCATCACCCATACTTACTGAGCACCTGTGCATGCCAGCCCAGGCGCTAAGACCACTCCTGTATTACCTCATCGATTCTTCACAAAAACTCCTGGAAGACGCTACAGTACCACAGAATGGGGAATAAACTGGGCAGGGTATCACATGGAAAAGTGACTATTCCCATGGTGTTCATGGTCTGTAGGGGGAAATAGAGTTTATTGAGAAAACACTGCATTCAAATCCTGATGACAAAGGTAGTGGAGGGGTTGCTGGTTTTGTTATTTCTGGCCATTGCTGGGCGGGGGACGGGGGGTCTTGAAAAGGGATATTTGAATGGAAACCTAGAGGATGAGAAAGGCTGAACAATACCAACAGCTGGGGGCAGGATTGTGCCAGTGCAAAGGCCCTGAGGTAGGTCATGGTGGGTGTCAGGGAAAGCACAGGGGTCTTTGAGACTGGACTTAGTGAAAGAGGGGGGATGGAGAGGTAGGCAAACACCAGTCCACCCAGGACCTTGTCAAAGGAAAACAGTGATGGGAACGTCCAGGGGGAAAGCATTTCCAGGGGAGAGATTGGTCCTTGCAGAGGCCCTCAGCCAGGACCACCTACTGTGGACACAGCTCAGTGCAAATGAGGTCATAGTGGTGGGCGGGGCCGGGCAAGGCAGCATCTGCTGGGTCTTGGTGAGGCTTTTAGATTCATTCCAAGTTCATGAAGGGCATTCAAGGAAGCCCTGCCTGCGCTGGTGGACAGGGTGAGGTGGGCTCAGTTCTCCTGTTTGTTCTCCTTTCCTCCTCCCTCTCCAGGCTCCTCTGGCCTCAGCACATCCCCTGCACCCATAAAAATTAATGAAACACTGACACCTGCTAGGACAACCACAATTTTGATAACATTATGTTAAGCGATAGAAGCTACACAAAAGGGCAAATGTGATATGATTCCATTTATGTGAAATATTTGAAACAGACAGATCCACAGAGACAGAAAGACTAGTGGTTCCTTAGGGCTATGGGGCAGGGGATTGGGAGTGATGTCTCGTGTGTAGAGGTTTCTTCCGCTGGAGATGAAAATGTGGAATTAGGTAGTGGTGATACCCGCACAACTTTGTGAATACACAGAAACCCCCAGACTGTACTGTTTTATTTTAAATCCTCACCAGAGGATGTTTTTCTATTTATCTTCAGATAAGTGTGAAGGAGAGACAGGGAGAGAGAGAGAGAGAGAGAGAGAGAGAGAGAGAGAGAGAGAGAGAGAGAGAGAGAAACATCAATGTGAAGAGGACACATCAACTGGTTGCCTCCTGCATCACCCTGAACAGGGCCAGGGACAATCCACAACCGAAGTATGTGCCATTGGCCAGAATTGAACCCCTGACACATTGGCCCGCGGGCTGATGTTCTAACTGCTGAGCCAATCTGGCCAGGAAAGAACTGTACATTCTTAAACAGTAAAATATATGGTCTGTGGATTATATCTCAATAAAAATATAAACTACTGATAGCCTGAGTGCACCCATGCCCGGGTCAGCCTCGGGACCAGCACAGTGTTCTGTGGAAGGCTGCCTGGACCTCCTTGTTCCGCAGGCAGTAGATGACAGGGTTGCACATGGGCGTGACCACCGTGTAGATGACAGACAGCACCTTGTTGAGATCCATGGCCTCGATGCGGCTGGGACGGGCGTAGATGAAGAGGGTGGCCGAGTAGAAGATCCCCACCACTACCAGGTGGGAGGCACAGGTGGAGAAGGCTTTGCGGTGGGCTGCGGCTGACGGCATATGGAGCACGGCCCTACCAATGGCCACATAGGAGGTTATGGCCACGAGGAGGGAACCCCAGAGGATGACGATGGCGGAGATGAAGTCCACCAGCTCTGTCAGGGCCACGTGAGTGCAGGACAGATTGAGCAGAGGGGAAACATCACAGAAGAAGTGGTTGAGGATATTGGGGCCACAGTAGGTCAAGCTAGCAATGCATGATGTCTTGACCACCGAGACCAGCAGTCCACCAAGCCATGAGGACAAGGACAAGCCCAGGCAGACCTGGGGTCTCATGAGCAGTGGGTAGTGGAGTGGATGGCAGATGGCCACATAGCGGTCATAGGCCATGGAGGCCAGCAGGGTGCACTCAGTACAGATGAGAGAGATGAAGAAGAAGAGTTGGGTCATGCAGGCTGTGAAGGGCACATGGCTAGGTCCATTCCACAACCCCAGGAGCAGGCTGGGCATGGTCACTGACACATAACACACCTCCAGGCAGCTCAGGTTGCCCAGGAAAAAGTACATGGGCTTGTGGAGCTCACTGTGAGTGCAGACGAGGTAGATGATCAGTGTATTCTCCAGGAGGGTCAGCAGGTAGAGAGTCAGGAAGACAGCAAACAGGACATCCCTCATGTCTGGCCTCATGGACAAACCTAGCAACACAAACTCGTGAACTCTCGTCACGTTGTCCAGCTCCACGGGCCGCTCCATCTGAGAACAACATACACCCCTGAAATATGTTGCAAATCTCCATCTCTACACCTTCCTCACCTGAGATCCAGCCATTGTCTCACCTGAGTTCGGGAAATGACCTTCTCTGGTTCCTCTGCTTCGAGTCTTCCCTCCACAGTTCTTGTTCGTGTAGCAGCTAGTGGGGTCTTTCAAAAATCATAGATCATAGGGTCTCTCTCCTGCTTAAAACCTACCGATTTTCCCATTATTTTTCCAATAAACATCGTGTTCCTTGTCTTGGTCTTCAAGCCCCCATGATTTCAGATTCCTGCCTATTGCTCCAGGGTCCCTGCCTGTCATGAGTCCTCTCCTCCTATCCACAGAAGCCCCATGAGCACCTTTCACTTCCTCAAATGCTCTAAGGTACTTCTCCCCTTAAAAATCTTGGCTGCGTGGTTGTTGGATGGAGCATCGTCATATACACAAAAGGGATGTGGGTTTGATTTCTGGTTAGGGCACATACCTAGGTTGTGAGTTCGGGCATATATAGGAGGTAACTGATTAATATTTTCCTCTTATCTCTCCTCCTCTCTCTTCTCTCCCTCTTAAAAAACTAACACACATTTCCTTGGGTGAGGATTAAAAACAAACAAGGCCCTGGCCGGTTTGGCTCAGCGGTTGGAGCATCGGCCTGCGGACCAGAGAGTCCTGGGTTCGGTTCCCATTAGGCCCCATCAGCTGGGGGCACATACTAAAAAAACAAACAAAAACAGAATTCCCACATAAAACTCTTTCTGCCCAGAATGCCCTTCTCCCCATTCTCACTTTGCTTATTTCTGGGGGTCCTTGACATCCTTGGCATACATTTCTCAATGTCTTATCTTCAGATAAGGCTTCCTTGAGAATCTGCTCTCAAACCCTGTCCTCACTCTCTATCCCCACCTCCCTTACCGTCTTGCAGAGCGATTCCTATTATGCTCAATTACCTGTGTGTTTGTTCAGTGATCCAGTTTCTCTCCAACTGAGTTGTAAGCCTGGGGGAAGGGTCTGGGTTTGTCAGAGGCAGAACGGTATCCCTGGCCTCTAGTGGAAAACGTTCATCGCCCAGTATATTGTAGGTGCTCAGTGTGAATCATTGCCTGGCCGATCGAAGCCGGATGTCCAGGCATCACACTTCCAGGATGTTGGCTGGGGGCGCTGGGACTCTTCCTAGCTGACCTTCCCTCCATTTTCTATTGGTTGTTGATTTGAAAGGGGTCAGTGGAGTGTGCTTGGAAGAACACACCCACCTGAGATCACAAATCTGTCTCATCTGCTTATTACATTCTTTAGAACATTGCTTGCTTTATTCACGTCTTAGTTTTTTCCTCTGTGAAACTGGGAGAAGGGTATTGATTTCCATGAGATGTTGTAAAGAGTACATAAAAGAATGAAAGGGATTGGAAGCTGGGTGGCTCTCTTGGTTGTAGTGCCATCCTGTGCACCAAGAAGGTTGCAGGTTGAATTACAGATCAGGTCACATACCCAAGTTGTAGGTTTATTCCCCAGTCCAGGCACGTACAGGGGCAACCAATTGATGTTTCTTTGACATCTGTCTCTCTCTAAAAATCAATAAACATATACTCAGGTGAAGGTTTAAATAAAGAAAGGGAAGGTTCCAAACAAATCAGTTATTACTTTCGATAGAATTCGATCAATCTATCTAAAGGTGTTATTTAAAGACCATAACTGTAGCCTGGCCGGTATGCCTCAGTGTTTGAGCATCGACTCATGCACCAAGAGGTCCCTGGTTCTATTCCTGGTCAGGGCATATGCCCAGGATGTGGGCCAAATCCCCAAGCGGGGGCATTCAGGAGGTGGCCAATTGATGTTCTCGCTCATTGCTGTTTCTATCTCTCTCTCCCTCTCCCTTCATCTCTCTCTAAAATCAAATATATATATATATATATATATATATATATATATATATATATCTTTTATCCTCTCCCAAGGACATTTTTTTCCATGTTTTGTTCAGATAGAGTGGAGGGAGAGAGAGAGAGAGAAACATCGACATGAAAGGGACACATCGAGTGGTTGCCACCCACACAACCAACCAGGGCCAGGGACAACTTGCAACCGAGGTACGTGCCCTTAGCGGGAACCAAACCTGGGTCTCTCTGGACCGCAGGCTGATGCTCTAACCACTGAGAAAAACAGTCCAGGGCAATAAAAAATATATTTTAAAAAAGAACACAATTGTACAGTGAACTTTAGTGGTTCTCATGGGCATCTTGAAGTAGAGAATAATCCTTATCTCCACATCTGAGATTTCTTCACTAATATGATATCATGCATTGAAATTTACCTCCATTTATTAGCAAAGAAAATCAACTATGGTGATTTTCTATTGAAAAAAAAAAATAGAAAATTGATTCCTAATTCTTCTTCAGAGGACCATATTTTCACCACCCAAATCTTTTGTTATAAAGGTGGAGATAACATTTATTGCATATATTTATGTTCAGGATGAGTCCTACTTCTAAAATCCTCAATAAGGAGAAATTTTTCCATTGATTTTCAGATGGACTGTGAGGGAGACAGAGACAGAGTCAGAGAGAGAGAAATATTGATGTGAGAGAGACACATTGACCTGTTGACTCTGGCACAATCCTGACCAGAGCCTGGGATTAAATCTGCAACACAGATATGTGCCCTTGACTAAGAATCCAACTCCTGACCCTTCCATCCGGGGGCCAACAGACTAACTGCTGAGCCAAACTGACCAGGGCCAGGGTGGGGCCTTTTAATAAAATATTTAATACATTTCAATACCCTCAAAGCAGCTGCCATTTTCCTTATTATTAAATACAAAAACAAACAAACAAACAAACAAACAAACAAACAAACAAAAATCCCAGGTTCCCCGAGGCTACAAGTACGTAGAGAGAACCCTGGGATTTTTCAACTCAGCTGACTAAAGTCACCTAGATAGGGGCAGGTCCAGCCGCCGCCCCTGGGTCCATCTGATTCTGAAGCCAGTGGTCATAGTTCCAGACTTTGCTGCTCCTCCACAGGGAGGAAGTTCCCTGTGGTCAAATCTGTACAGCGCAGCTACGCTGTGTGTGTCCTGACTTCCCAGCGACGGCCATGCTGGCTTGTTACTCTCATCCCTTCTAACAGAGAAGCCCATACGCAATCAACAAGGCAGGGCAGGGACCTGATGAAGGAGCCTTTCCTTTCAAAGGAAGGACAGGGAAAGCCTCCTTTCCACTGAACCTGACTTTATTTTTTAAATCTTTATTGTAGACAGTGTTACAGATGTTCCCCCCACCATATTCCCCTATTGCCCCCTTCCTCCTGATTCCCGTCCTGCCCCAGGCCTTGAACACCCTACAGTCTGTGTCCGTGGGTTATGCATATATGCATGTACGTGTTTTGTTTAATTTCATCCCACCCCTCCACCTCCCCTCTGAGGTTCCCCAGTCTGTTCCATGTTCCCAGGCCTCTGTTTCTATTTTATTCATCAGTTTATTTTGTCCAGTAGATTCCATATATAAGTGAGATCCTGTTAGCAGCGCTACTCACAACAGCTACTATCTGAATCTGACATTATTTAAAATATGTTTTCATTGATTTTTAGAGAGAGAAGGAGGGAGAGGGAAAGAGAACAGAACAGTGATTGGTTGCCTCCTGATGCTCCCTACAGGGGGTCGAGCCCACAACCCGGGCACGTGCCCAACTAGGAATCGAACCAGAAACTACATGGGATGAGGCTTAACCAACTGAGCTACACAGGACAGAGCTGGATCTGACATTGTAACTTGAAGGATTGGTGGGAATTGAGTGGAGTGATGGGCAGCTGAGGACGAAGGAACGGCCCCAGCACAGACATGAAGCTGTGGGCACACTTTCGACCAAAGTCACTCAGGTGCTTGGGCCCAGGTTTTTAGCTCCCAACAGAGCCCTTTGTTTTCATTCCTTCCTGAAAGACATCTTGGTATGGTAGAAAGAATTCAGGGTCCTGGCCAGGTGAATCCGTTTGTTAGAGCATCATCCCGAGACCCATGCTGTGGATTTGATCCCCAGTCAGGGCACATACAAGCATCAACCAATGAATGCATCAATAAGTGGAATGACAAATCGCTATTTCTCTATATCTGTCTCTGTGATCAATAAATTTAGAAAGACAATTCAGGCTGTAGAATCACATGGACCTGGACTCCAAATTCAAGTCCTCTACTGCCTATTTGTAGAAAGTCAAGTATTACTCTTACCCTTTGCATCATCACAGACGGACCTGGAGATTATTATGTGAAGCAAAATAGGCCAGTCAGAGAAATCAAATAACACATGATTGCACTTATATGTTGGGTCTAATGAAAAAAATAAACTGACATACAAATTAAAACCAGAGGTGTGGATACATGGAACAGATTTACAGATGTCAGAGGGAAGGAGTGGGGGATAGTGGAAGGTGAACAGATTAGCCAAAGGACATATAGGGGTAGCCTATGGACACAGACAACAATGTAGTGATGGCCAGAGCAAAGGGGGGCAGGGGCTAGATGGCGGGGGCATAGGGAGGAAATTGGGGCCATCTGTAATAGTGTGAATAATGAAATAACATGAAAACATCAAATTAAAAAAATCAAGCATTGTGCACTTACTCTTACGGACCTTTAGCTTCTCAATCTGTCACATAGGAGCTACATTTATTGCAATACCATCAGATTGGAGAGGATCAAAGGAGATAATACAAGGAGAGCACTCAGTAAAATTACACTACAGAGAATATGTGCTATAAATACCATTTTCTTTCTTTTCATCTTAATGAAGAGTCCTTTTCTCTTTGCACCCCACTGAGCGATCCAGCCTCCTTACCTGAATAGCTTGATTAAAATGGGTCTATCAGAATGGATGCAGATGGACTTCATTCTTCCTAGGGTCCCTGGTTAGTGGCTGGGTTGCCTGAGCCTCCACTCAAGGATGCTCAACTGTGAGACCTGCCTCTCACCTGGACACCCGGCATACTCTGAACGGGGTGTTGTCTGGGCACT